CTCGCCTGGCCGCTCGCCTGGCCGCTCGCCTGGCCGCTCGCCTGGCCGCTCGCCTGGCCGCTCGCCTGGCCGCTCGCCAGGGTGCTCGCCTGGCCGCTCGCCTGGCCGCTCGCCTGGCCGCTCGCCTGGCCGCTCGACAGGCCGCTCGCCAGGCCGCTCGCCCCGCCGCTCGCTTTGCCGCTCGCCTGGCCGCTCGCCTGGCCGCTCTGCTCTGAGCGCCGGGTCTGACCGCCGGGTCTGATATCCGGCTCTGAGCGCCGGCTCTTAGCGCCGGCTTTGAGCGCGGGGTCTGAACGCCGACTCTGAGCGCCGGCTCTGAGCGCCGGCTCTGAGCGCCGGCTCTGAGCGCCGGCTCTGAGCGCCGGCACTGAGCGCCGGCTCTGAGCGCTTTTGTTGCTGTTGTTGTTGTTGCTGTTGCTGTTGCTGCTGCTTTTGTTGCTGTTGTTGTTGTGGAGATGTGATGTCGATAGAACGGTCAACAGGATTCTCTGTGTTGAGCAATGTCGCTCCGGCAGCAGATCTTACAACTTCAGTTGTCATGTTGGTCCCGGACATGACCTTAACCTGTGTCCAGAAGGGTAAGCGAAGATTACCATCCAGAGAAGATCCTTGTTATCATCAGTGTTATGATTTTGTAACGTCCCATTTTTGTTTACAAACTTGGTCTTACTCATTCACTCGAACTTTTTCTCTTTCTTGATGCTTCTCACTAATGTGCCCAATTTTTATACTCCTTCTTGTTGATACTCTTCCTATGATTCATTTTGTCTTTCTTGTTCTCACTATAGTATCCATTCTTGTGTTCATTATATTTCCCATTCTAGTTCTCTTTTTAGTTTCTATTCTTGTTCTCATTATAGTTCCTATTCTTGTTCCCATTATAGTTTCCATTCTTGGTCTCATTATAGTTCCATTCTTGTTCTCATTATAGTTCCATTCTTGTTCTCATTATACTTCCATTTTTGCTCTCATTATAGTTTCTATTCCTGTTCTCATTATAGTTTCCATTCTTATTCTCACTATAGTTTCCTTTATTGTTCTCACTATAGCTCCTATTCTTGTTCTCATCATAGCTTCCATTCTTGTTTTCATTCTTGGTCACATTCTAGTTCCCATTTATGGTCTCATTCTTGTTCTCATTTCCTTTCTCTCTATCTAGTTCTAATTTCTGTTCTTATTCCTCTTTGTTCTCCTTCAGTATCGTATATTGGTGCTTCTAGTTCATTTTCCCATCCTGTTGCTGTTGCTGTTCGCTAGCTGCTCGCTGGCCCCTCTCTTGACCGCTCGCCTGGCCGCTCACCTGGCCGCACGCCTGGCCACTCGCCTGGCCGCTCGCCTAGCCGCTCGCCTGGCCGCTTGCCTGGCCGCTCGGCATAGAGCGCCGGCTCTGAGCGCTTTTGTTGCTGTTGTTTTTGCTGTTTTTGCTGTTGCTGCTGCTGTTGCTGCTGTTGTTGTTGTGGAGATTTCATGTCGATAGAAGTCAACAGGATTCTCTCTGTTGAGCAATGTCGCTCCGGCAGCAGATCTCACAACTTCAGTTGTCATGTTGGTACCGGACATGACCTTTAAATGTGTGCAGAAAGGTAAGCGAAGATTACCAACAAGAGAAGATCCTTGTTATGATAAGTGTTATGATTTTGTAAGGGTCCCATTGTTTACAAACTTCGTCTCACTCATTTACTCGAACCTTTTCTCTTCCTTGATGCTTCTCACTATTGTGCCCAATTTTTTACTCTTTCTTGTCGATATTCTTGCTATGATTCATCTTGTCTTTATTGTTCTCATTATAGTTTCCATTCTTGTTCTCATTATATTTTCCATTCTTGTTCTCATTATAGTTTCCATTCTTGTTCTCATTCATGATAGTTTCCATTCTTGTTCTCGTTCTTGTTCTCATTCTAGTTCCCATTCTTGTTCTCATTCTTGTTCTCAATTCCTTTCTCTCTTTCTAGTTCTAATTTCTGTTCTGATTTCTCTTTATTCTCCTTCATTATCGTATTTTGGTGCTTCTAGTCCTATTTCCCATCCTGTTGCTGTTGCTGATCGCTGGCTGCTCGCGGGCCACTCGGCTGGCCTCTCTCCTGGCCGCTCGACTGGCCGCTCGCCTGGCCCCTCGCCTGGCCGCTCGCCTGGCCCCTCGCCTGGCCGCTCGCCTGGCCGCTCGCCTGGCCGCTCGCCTGGCCGCTCGCCTGGCCGCTCGCCTGGCCGCTCGCCTGGCCGCTCGCAAGGGCGCTCGCCTGGCCGCTCGCCTGGCCGCTCTCCTGGCCGCTCGCCTGGCCGCTCGACAGGCCGCTCGCCAGGCCGCTCGGCCCGCCGCTCGCCCTGCCGCTCGCCTTGCTGCTCGCCTGGCCGCTCGCCTGGCCGCTCTGATCTGAGCGCCGGGTCTGACCGCCGGGTCTGATATCCGGCCGGCTCTGAGCGCCGGCTTTTAGCGCCGGCTTTGAGCGCGGGGTCTGAACGCCGACTCTGAGTGCCGGCTCTGAGCGCCGGCTCTGAGCGCCGGCTCTGAGCGCCGGCTCTGAGCGCCGGCTCTGAGCGCCGGCACTGAGCGCCGGCTCTGAGCGCTTTTGTTGCTGTTGTTGTTGCTGTTGCTAATGCTGCTGCTTTTGTTGCTGTTGTTGTTGTGGAGATGTGATGTCGATAGAACGGTCAACAGGATTCTCTGTGTTGAGCAATGTCGCTCCGGCAGCAGATCTTACAACTTAAGTTGTCATGTTGGTCCCGGACATGACCTTAACCTGTGTCCAGAAGGGTAAGCGAAGATTACTATCCAGAGAAGATCCTTGTTATCATAAGTGTTATGATTTTGTAACGTCCCATTTTTGTTTACAAACTTGGTAATACTCATTCACTCGAACCTATTCTCTTTCTTGATGCTTCTCACTAATGTGCCCAATTTTTATACTCCTTCTTGTCGATACTTTTGCTATGATTCCTCTTGTCTTTCTTGTTCTCATTATAGTTTCCATTCTTGTTCTCATTATAGTTTCCATTCTTGTTCTCATTATAGTTTCCATTCTTGTTCTCACTATAGTTTCCATTCTTGTTCTCATTATAGTTTCCATTCTTGTTCTCATTATAGTTTCCATTCTTGTGTTCATTATATTTTCAATTCTTGTTCTCATTTTAGTTTCTATTCTTGTTCTCATTATAGTTCCTACTCTTGTTCCCATTATAGTTTCCATTATTGTTCTCATTATAGTTCCATTCTTGTTCTCATTATAGTTTCCATTCTTGTTCTCATTATGGTTTCTCTTCTTGTTCTCACTATTGTCCCTATTCCTTTTCTCACTATAGATCCTATTCTTGTTCTCATTATAGTTCCATTCTTGATCTCATTATAGTTCCATTTTTGCTCTCATTATAGTTTCTATTCCTGTTCTCATTATAGTTTCCATTCTTATTCTCACTATAGTTTCCATTATTGTTCTCACTATAGCTCCTATTCTTGTTCTCATCATAGTTTCCATTCTTGTTTTCATTCTTGGTCACATTCTAGTTCCCATTTATGGTCTCATTCTTGTTCTCATTTCCTTTCTCTCTATCTAGTTCTAATTTCTGTTCTTATTTCTCTTTGTTCTCCTTCAGTATCGTATATTGGTGCTTCTAGTTCATTTTCCCATCCTGTTGCTGTTGCTGTTCGCTAGCTGTTCGCTGGCCCCTCTCTTGGCCGCTCGCCTGGCCGCTCACCTGGCCGCTCGCCTGGCCACTCGCCTGGCCGCTCGCCTAGCCGCTCGCCTGGCCGCTTGCCTGGCCGCTCGGCATAGAGCGCCGGCTCTGAGTGCCGGCTCTGAGCGCCGGCTCTGAGCACTTTTGTTGCTGTTGTTTTTGCTGTTTTTGCTGTTGTTGCTGTTGTTGTTGTGGAGATTTCATGTCGATAGAAGTCAACAGGATTCTCTCTGTTGAACAATGTCGCTCCGGCAGCAGATCTCACAACTTCAGGTGTCATGTTGGTCCCGGACATGACCTTAAACTGTGTCCAGAAAGGTAAGCGAAGATTCCATCCAGAGAAGATCCTTGTTATCAAAAGTGTTATAATTATGTACCATCCGATTTTTGGTTACAAACTTGGTCTCATCCCATTACTCGAACTTTTTCTCTTCCTTGATGCTTCTCACTAATGTGCCCAATATTTTACTCTTTCTTGTCGATATTCTTGCTATGATTCATCTTGTCTTTCTTGTTCTCATTATAATTTCCATTCTTGTTCTCATTATAGTTTCCATTCTTGTTCTCATAATAGTTTCCATTCCTGTTTCATTATAGTTTCAATTCTTGTTCTCATTATAGTTTCTATTCTTGTTCTGATTATTGTTCCCATTCTAATTCTCATTCTTGGTCACATTCTAGTTCCCATTCTTGTTTTCATTCTATTTCTGATTTCCTTTCTCTCTTTCTAGTTCCAATTTCTGTTCTGATTTCTCTTTGTTCTCCTTCATTATCGTATTTTGGTGCTTCTAGTTCTTTTACCATCCTGTTGCTGTTGCTGTTGCTGATCGCTGGCTGCTCACTGGCCGCTCGGCTGGCCGCTCTCCTTGCCGTTCGCCTGGCTGCTCGCCTTGCCGCTCGCCTGGCCGCTCGCATGGCCGCTCGCCTGGCCGCTCGCCTGGCCGCTCGCCTGGCCGCTCGCCTGGCCGCTCGCCTGGCCGCTCGCCTGGCCGCTCGCCTGGCCGCTCGGCTGGACGCTCGGAACTGAGCGCCGGCTCTGAGCGCCGGCTCTGAGCGCCAGCTCTGAGCGCCGGCTGTAAGCGCTGGCTCTGAGTGCCCTCTCTAAGCGCCGGCTCTGAGCGCCGGATCTGAGCGCCGGCTCTGAGCGCCGACTTTGAGCGCCGGCTCTGAGCGCCGGCTCTGAGGGCCGGCTCTGAGCGCCGGCTCTGAGCGCCGGCTCTGAGCGCCGGCTCAGAGCGCCGGCTCTGAGCGCCGAGTCTGAGCGCCTGGTCTGATCATCGGCTATGAGCCCTGAGAGCCGGTTATGAGCGTTTTTATTGCTGGTGTTGTTGTTATTGTTGTTGTTGTTGTTGTTGTTGTTGTTGCTGTTGCTGTTGCTGTTGCTGTTGTTGCTGTTGTTGTTGTTGTTGTTGTGGAGCCGGCTCTGGGCGCCGGCTGTAAGTGCCGGCTCTGAGCGCCGGCTCTGAGCGCCGGCTCTGAGCGCCGGCTCTGAGCGCCGACTCTGAGCGCCGGCTCTGAGCGCCGGCTCTGAGCGCCTGCTCTGACCGCCGGCTCTGAGCGCCGGCTCTGAGCGCCGACTCTGAGCACCGGCTCAGAGCGCCAGCTCAGAGCCGACTCTGAGCGCCTGGTCTGATCACCGGCTCTGAGCGCCCTGAGAGTCGGTTATGAGCGTTTTTGTTGCTGTTGCTGTTGTTGTTGTTGTTGTTGCTGCTGTTGCTGTTGCTGCTGCTGTTGTTGCTGTTGTTGTTGTTGTTGTTGTGGAGATGTCATGTCGATAGAAGTCAACAGGATTCTCTCTGTTGAGCAATGTCACTCCGGCAGCAGATCTCACAACTTCAGTAATTCACATGTTGGTCCCTGTCATGACCTTAAACTGTGTCCAGAAAGGTAAGCGAAGATTACCATCCAGAGAAGATCCTTGTTATCAAAAGTGTTATGATTATGAACCATCCGATTTTTGGTTACAAACTTGGTCTCATTCCATTGCTCGAACTTTTTCTCTTCCTTGATGCTTCTCACTAATGTGCCCAATTTTTTACTCTTTCTTGTCGATATTCTTGCTATGATTCATCTTGTCTTTCTTGTTCTCATTATAGTTTCCACTCTTGTTCTCATTATAGTTTCCATTCTTGTTCTCATTATAGTTTCTATTCTTGTTCTGATTATTGTTCCCATTCTTGTTCTCATTCTTGGTCACATTCTAGTTCCCATTCTTGTTCTCATTCTATTTCTGATTTCCTTTCTCTCTTTCTAGTTCCAATTTCTGATCTGATTTCTCTTTGTTCTCCTTCATTATCGTATATTGGTGCTTCTAGTTCTTTTCCCATCCTGTTGCTGTTGCTGTTACTGATCGCTGGCTGCTCACTGGCTGCTCGGCTGGCCGCTCTCCTGGCCGTTCGCCTGGCCGCTCGCCTTGCCGCTCGCTTGGCCGCTCGCATTGCCGCTCGCCTGGCCGCTCGCCTGGCCGCTCGCCTTGCCGCTCGCCTGGCCGCTCGCCTGGCCGCTCGCCTGGCCGCTCGCCTGGCCGCTCGGCTGGACGCTCTGCACTGAGCGCCGGCTCTGAGCGCCGGCTGTGAGCGCCAGCTCTGAGCGCCAGCTGTAAGCGCTGGCTCTGAGTGCCGGCTCTAAGCGCCGGCTCTGAGCGCCGGCTCTGAGCGCCGGCTCTGAGCGCCGACTCTGAGCGCCGGCTCTGAGCGCCGGCTCTGAGCGCCGGCTCAGAGCGCCGGCTCTGGGCGCCGACTCTGAGCGCATGGTCTGATCACCGGCTATGAGCGCCCTGAGAGCCGGTTATGAGCGTTTTTATTGCTGGTGTTGTTGTTGTTGTTGTTGCTGTTGCTGTTGCTACTGCTGCTGTTGTTGCTGTTGTTGTTGTTGTTGTTGTTGTTGTGGAGCCGGCTCTGAGCGCCGGCTCTGAGCGCCGGCTCTGAGCGCCGACTCTGAGCGCCTGGTCTGATCACCGGCTCTGAGCGCCCTGAGAGTCGGTTATGAGAGTTTTTGTTGCTGTTGCTGTTGTTGTTGTTGTTTTTGTTGTTGTTGTTGTTGCTGTTGCTGTTGCTGCTGCTGTTGTTGCTGTTGTTGTTGTTGTTGTTGTGGATATGTCATGTCGATAGAAGTCAACAGGATTCTCTCTGTTGAGCAATGTCACTCCGGCAGCAGATCTCACAACTTCAGTTGTCATTTTGGTCCCGGACATGACCTTAAACTGTGTCCAGAAATGTAAGCGAAGATTACCATTCAGAGAAGATCTTTGTCATGATAAGTGTTATGATTATGTACTGTCCCATTTTTGGTTACAAACTTTGTCTCACTCATTTGCTCGAACTTTTTCTCTTCCTTGATGCTTCTCGCTAATGTGCCCAATTTTTTACTCTTTCTTGTCGATATTCTTGCTATGATTCATCTTGTCTTTCTTGTTCTCATTATAGTTTCCATTCTTGTTCTCATTATAGTTTCCATTCTTGTTCTCATTATAGTTTCCATTCTTGTTCTCATTATTGTTCCATTCTTGGTCTCATATTAGTTTCCATGGAGTAGCGCATAATTTGGCGTTCAAAGTTGTGTATAGTAAATGACCATGTCACACGTGCATACTCTCATGTCCTTCATATTTTGCTTTCTTTCGAAACAATGCATTTTTGAGTGCATGCCGTCTCAAATTCGGTGAAATGGGCTGTCGGTGAAATGGGCTGTCGGTGAAAACAGTGCTCTGTGAACTGTCTTTCGGTGAATTGGTTATCCTGTGAAATGGGCTGTCTGTCAAAAAGGTAGTCTGTGAAATGTCATTCAGTGAACTGTCGTTCTGTGAACAATCAGCGAGTGCGACAAAATGGCAAAAAAACTGACAAGGAGTACTGAGACATTCGGCGACCTGACACCTAGCTCTAACACTTCTCCAAGGCACAAACCAACAACCTTCCAACTTGGAAGGCTCAGGTTCGGAAAGATCCAGGTAAGGTTTAAGCCATTTTGTCGCACTCGCTGACTGTGCATGATCTGTGTGCGTTGGTGAACAGTTTGTCATAACTCGTAACATTTTTCCTTTTCCTTTTTCACCAAATATACAATCATGTAATTGATTTACTAGTTGCTACATAAATCCGTTGATCCCCGGAGCTGCAGAGAGTGCTCAATGTCAGAGGCTGAGCTTAGTACACAGCAGACTCAGCCGAGTTGTAACTCTGAGTTTCATGCCGCTAGGCAATCATCAGAGACAACGGACACTAGGATCTACCCTGCCGTATGCTAAAACACATTATGCCACAAGCATAAATAAATTTAGCGCTAAATCGGGTGATCGGAGGAATTTGTTTGGTTGAGTTGGGTAACTCCGCTCTTCTTCCTCGCTCACCGGAGTAATTTCTCTAGTCTCCTCGCGCAACTGGGGAGCACTCCAATGGAGAGAGAAAGGTTTTCACTGAGCGGCTTGCTGTGAGAGGTGGACTGAGACTTGAGGGCACTAACGGCGAATTTCAAGACCTTACGGCCACGGAGATGCGGGACTCTGCGTTGGTCGTCTATCCGTGTGGAGGCAACGCAAACGCGTTCAACATTCTGCCGAAGCGAGCTCGGAGCTGAAGCTGGATTGGTGACTGACGTACCTGCCTACTCCACAACACCGGCGCATAATGATGTACATGTACAAGACTTCGTGTGCATTCAACTCAAATTCGTGTTCCGTCAGCGTCAGTGTCAGCAAGTACCTGTAGTACAATTTGTTCCCAAAATGACTTCGGGACAGTCTGTTCATGGTTTTCATTAATTTTGTACATTGTATTGGACTCGTTCTTGCGATAATTTAGCGGCAATTCTTATGTTGTAGCGTAGTTCTCTTGTAATTTAGTGGAACCTGTATTGAGTAAATGAGTTTTATGTTTCGTTAGATTGTCGACAGGTCTCCTGTGTACCGGTTTTGTGGCACAATGATTATAGCCATTTGTCGTCTCCATTCTTGTGCAATCATGCATATGTCGGTTGGTTCTCTTCATATTCTTGCGACCTATTTCATAGATGTTGGTTGCCTTGTTGCTTTCTCTCCCCTCTCCTCTCAACCAAACCATTCTGTATATGCGAAGCTGTGGACGCAGCATACTGCTGCTTCACTTCAAATCGGGAATGCGTATAATAATAATAATAATACAAAAGAGAGAGAGAGAGGTTGGAAGCTTTGTTTCAACTCTGAGTTTCACGTATACAAAAGAGAGAGAGAGATTGGAAGCTTTGTTACAACTCTGAGTTTCACGTACTACTACGATCATCAGGCAACCCCCCCTGCCTGATGATCATAGTATTATGTGAAACCTGAGTTGTAACAAAGCTTCCAATCTCTCTCTTGTGTACAAGGCTCTGCCCTACATGGGTATTCATTGACTCTTCAGAAAGTGAATTGAAGCAAACCACTTGACTACAAATAATAATAATAAATCTGGTGACGTTGCCTGAGCCAGCATTCTCCCCATAAATTACGTCTCCAGATTTAGCGCTGAATTTGTTTATGGCCCTATTATATGTGTCGATATTCGACGATAAGCATACTGCTGGGTAGATGCGAGTATCAGTTCAAGTGTCTGATGATTGCCTAGCAGCAGGAAGCACAGAGTTCAAGTACACTGTACAACCAACCTTTACGTCATCCGCTTAGTCTGCTATGTACCGTAGTTGGAAGATATGTGGGCGCCGCGCTCCCCCGCACATCAGCTCTCAATACGTGCTACAGCTGGGAGTATTAGTAGCTGGAAACGCACCCGTGGCACCATAACTACATTCGTCGCGTTGAGAAAGGTTAGCTCTGCTCTCTGTATTTCTTTGACTTTTTTGGAAGGCGCACAGCTATTTTGTGTCTACATGTATGTATGTTTGTTTGTTTGTTTGTTTATCTACGGATTCTCCAGAGGTACATGGATACCTATCATGGGAGTCTCACCAAACCAATAAAATAATGAAAATAAAATTATGTATGGAGTGTAAAAAACTCAAAATCTTAGATTTTCTAAGTCAAATGTATCAGTGTATTGTAGCGTACAGGCCACTTACTTTCAAGTTTCAACACCATTATTTACGAAAGGAAACAGTAGAACTTTGAGGCAATAGTAGAAGGAGAAAAAGCCACACGGGTTGTTCAAATGGATATTTTGAGTATTCCAAGATGGCGGAAGACAAGTGCCGCTACCTGTATGTACATTCAATTTCTATTACTGGTTAAATTTTCGTCTAATGATCGATTCAGTTCGTGAAACTCAAAGTTACGAAACAGCAACTGCTCGTTCTTCTGTCTGTGCATGTACAGGTTTATGAAGGATAGGCTGGACGTTCCTTGACACTGGAAGAACTGAAG